ACAGTGACCCCCACTCTGTTTAGGAGGCTGTAAATCTTTAGGGAAGTAGATTGCCTATCTTTCTTCTGCAGAGTGGCCGGTGGATTTAAACTGCTAACTTCTGGTTAGCAGCCAAATACCTTATCCACTACGCCACCAAAAACAAACAAAAAAAACCCCCAACTCATTGCCATCTACTGGATTCAGACTCATAGCGACCCCCTTTGGGTTTCTGAGGCAGTAAATCTTTACAGAAGTAGATTGCTCAATCTTCCTTCCAGAGCACCTTTATTGATAATATATATTAAGTAAAAATATATATGACATAATATTTAAGTATATATTATTATTCTAAACCAAAACTAAACCCACTGCTATCCAGTGGTTCTGACTCATAGAAACACTACAGGACAGAGTAGAGCCGCTCCACAGGGTTTTACAAGGCAGTAAATCTTTACAGGGACAGGCTGCCTCATCTGTCATGTCTCTCCACACAGCTGGTGAGTTCAAACTGCCAACCTTTTGGTTAGCAGCCTAATGTGTTAACCACTGCACCACCAGAGCTCTTCACTGTTTTTATTAGTTGCCATCATATCAATTTTGGCTCATGATGACAACAGCAAATTGAAAGGATAGGAACATAAAGGGTCAGTAAGTTTATGCTAATGAGGAAGGTACAATTCAGAAAAGGTGAGAGCGGTTGTACAACTCAAAGAAGGTAATCGACATCACTAAACTGTACATGTAGAAACTGTTGGTGTGTTTTCCTGTGTGTATTCTCGACACCAAAATAATCAAATTAAAAAAAAAATCAACATCATGCCTTAATCAGAGAAATAAAGGCAAAGTAATTTGGAATACCTCTACCCATCTATCATTTTGTCACACTGTAGTGGCTTGCATGTCATTATGATGCTGGAAGCTATGCTGCTAGTGTTTCAAATACCAGCTAAATCACCTATGCTGGACAGATTTCAGCAGAACTTCCAGATTAAGACAGACTAGGAAACAAGGCATGGCAATTTACTTCCAGAAATCAGTCAATGGATCACAACAGATTGTTCAATACAGTGCTGAAAGATCAGCCCCTAGGTTGGTAGATACTCAAAATACACAGTGGCCCATGATAATGGATTTGTGCATACCAATTATTCTGAAGGTGGAGCAGGGCCAGGCAACGTGTTCATGCTGTAATACAGGGGTCACTAGGACTCAGAGGCAAATCAACAGCAACAGTTTGGAATAAAAGAATCTGTATTTCAATCCTCAAGCATAAGGACTATACAAGACAAAAGGAAGCAGTTAGATGTTTGCTTTTCTGAATAGGGCTGTTTGATGGGTGACTAAAATTTTGGAAGTGTGTTGCTGTAGGTGACATTATTTTTCAAAGTGGTAAAAACAAAACAACTCAATAAAGTTATGAATAACAAAACAAAATCCATTTTAAATGCCAAATTAAGCCAATAAAGTCAGGCCTGAGACATGTGAGTTAAACATTTACCTCAAGTAGATACACGCCCTGGAGAGAATAATCATGGGAGAAGGAAGGGCTGCTTATGCACAGGGAGATAGCTCAGGGTGCAGAAGAGTATGAAGGGATGGACACTGGGAGGAGGTAAGAAGAAGTGGGAGGGGAGCTGCTGCATTGTAAATTTTGGTCAATGACATGAGACAAAGTATATGTGAACTGCTGTATGAAAAGTGAATTTACTCTGTAAATCTTCACCCAAATCCTAAAAAAAAAAAAAAGTCAGGCCTGAGAAAGTTACATTTCCTCTCCAGCTGGGTAAAAAGAAATGTAACTGAGGAGATACTGTCAAGTGCACATATGGTTTACAATTTGGAAATCTAAGGCACCACCTCATGATCTAGCAGTTACTTCCCTACAACAATCCTACCAACATCAGCTTGGTTGGGCTTTCTCGTGTCTTCAAACTTCACAAAGGAGGAATCCTGGCTAACCCGTTGTTGTTAAGTGCCGTGGAGTCGAACGACTCATAGCGACCCCTCCTTGGGTTTCCAAGGTAGTATCACTACGGAAGTAGGTTGCCCAACCTTCCTTCCAAGGAGTGGCTGGTGGGTTTGAACTGCCAGCCTTCTGGTTAGCAGTCAAGTACCTTAGGCACTATGTGACCAGAGCTCCCCTGGCTAACCTAGGTATAGGGATTTAATGACTTAATTACATAATTGAGTAAAAAATGTAAGAACAAGCTAGCGGGCACAGGCTTTCTAGCCACTAGAAAAACAGGGCACTTTTGAGCTGCTAAGGAAGAAATGTAGACCTAGGGTACCAGCTTCTTAGACCACTGTAGTCCCCACTGAGATCTCCTGCAATACATATTTCACTTATACACACGTCTTAGGCTGTTCTCTTTTTCATGTTTTCTCCCTGGTTTTATTTTTCCAAGGACAGAGCCATGTTCTTTTGTATTCTTCTTGGGAGTCAAGTTCAGTTGGGTCACCCAACACTGGCTTAACTGTTAACTTGAATCAAAGAATTATCATCTTTTGTTTGGTATACTAAGAACAGTATGAGTTGTTTTTTTTTTTTTTATTTTGCTGGAAGATGTATGGTTTCCATCGCACCATCTGACAACCACTTGCTCTTTATTTCATAATGCCGATAAGTGTTAGTTAATTATCATGTGTATTGTCTCACTCCTCACTTAGTTGTGCATCATGGAGGGCAGAGGTCATGTCAGTTTCCCTTTATTGTTCTATGAACCTCTTGGGAAGATGCTCTCCTCTGCATGTTGAGGTCCATATTAGAAAAAAACAAGAACAGTTTAAGACACACACACACACATAGTATTTTAATTAGGTAGAAAAAGAATTAAGGAATGAAGGGACATTGAAGCCCTGATATGGAATTAACAACTTCATATGTAATGAGGGAAAAACCAGAGAGAATACAAATGGACCCCAAGTCTGCCTTTATGGTCCTAAATTCTAATTCAATTAATTCAAAGGTTGCTTACTTTCTGCAGATAAAAAAATTTAGAGTCATTTGTAAGATGCATTTAACCCTATTCAAAATGGTATTGTTGCTGTTATGTGCCATCGAGTCGGATCCTACTCATAGCAACCCCTCTTTGGGTTTCCGAGGCAGTATCACTACAGAAGTAGATTGCCCAACCTTCCTTTTGTGGAGTGGCTGGTGGGTTTGAACTGCCAGTCTCCTGGTTAGCAGTCAAGTGCCTTAGGCACTATGCTACCAGAGCACCCTCAAAATGGTGTATTTATTAAAAATTTAAATAAATACCTATGAATCCACCATCCACTAAAACACCGTTAAGATAATCTGTAACATCAATCTATGCTTTCCTTCTCTATCCCATCTTGGCACCTTGCCCCATTGTTGTTGTTAGGTGCCATTCTGCCCCGTATGTAGAATAGAACTGCTCCACAGTTTTCAAGGCTATGACTTCCAGAAGCAGATCACCAGGCCTGACTTCTGAGTGCCTCTGGGTGGGTGGGTTCAAACCACCAACCCTCGGGCTAGTGATAAGAGTACTTAACTGTCTGTGCTACCCAGAGACTCCTTGCCCTACAGGTAACCACAATCTTTTTATTAATGTCATAAAAAGGACATAGTATGGTATACAGTCTTCTGAAAATTTCTTCACTCAGCACAATATTAGTAAGATTCACTGTTGTACATACATCCCCATTCAAATAGGAAGTATTTTTATTGACTTCAACAAGGTTGATTATCTCTGCTCCAGCTGCTGTTTGTAATAAAAATACATAATACCGTTCCTAAAGTATTGGGTCTACTAAAGATAAAACAGACCTGAGTGTGGGCCTCTAAGTTAGCGTGGAGATAACCCCATCACTCAGGAAGTAAGGACCAGAAGCCCAGGGCTCCTTTGCTTGGACTGATACAAAGTGTTCTTTTGTAGGCCCTTATTATTTCTGCCTTCCCTAGTGGACTTCATTAGGAAAAAGCAGTATGTGATTTTCCCAGTTGTAGATCCTTAAGTCTAGAGTAGACATAGTCACTGCTGTAACACAGGCATTCCAGGCCAATGGACTGGTGTTCCAAAGCTTCCAATCTCTACTCTAGCCCCACTCATGAAGAAAAGCATAATCCATGTATACTGTTGGACAGGATCTGATGGATCTGGTTTTGTGTTCTGTCTTGGTTTGAATCCTGCTTTACTGCCTCTTAGCTGCACGCACCTTGGATAAGCTACTTACCCTGTTTCATAGCACTGTTATGAAAATTAAGTAAAGTTACTGTGGATACAGCACTTTGTATTACTATATGCCAAGCACTGCTCTATGTGTGTGATAGTAATGTTTTATATATAAACATATGTATATATATACATATATGTGTACATCTACATCCACATCTGTGTACACACACACAGATATTATCTCGAAGTATGCAGCAAACGCTAATCTAGCCTCATGAAGGGACCTCTCTATATCACACCTTGTTAAATTACCTGAATAAATTAATCAAACAGGACATATCACCAGCTCATGACCCTCAGGCATGGAACTATTGATGCCCATACAGAAGCAAATGTAGTCCAGAGAATTTTGTCTTCTGAGGCCATGCCCAAGAGGAAAAAAGTCCAGATTCCTGGGTTTAGAGCTGTTCTCTCAGTCTCATCTCTCCTCCTCAGCACATAGTCTCCTCAGTACACCCAAGGGCTTGGGCTGGTGGTTCTGGATTGGAAGGCACAGTTGTGGACTTTCTGATCTATGCCAAGCATTGTTATATTACCCCACTGCCAACTAAAGAAAGGATTCAAGACACTATTTTCCTAGTGCAGTTACAGGATAAACCTATATAGAGTTATAGGCTATAGTATACTACACTAGTGAGGTGGTACTGAGAAAGTAGTGTTACTGTACATTTGGAAATAAAATCTTGCTCAGAAGGGGATTCTGGATCTCTAAGGGAAACCAACACCACTAACCACTTCCTTTCCCATGAGTCTCTTTTCAACTCACTCCGTCTTTCAACCCAATCCTGTCAAGACCAGGGAAACAACAACAATGTAAACAACATCCATACTCACTTTATTTTCAAACAGAGGGGCACGTACCCAAAGAGAAGTAGAGCTAAGGAACATCATGGGGCTTGCTCAAAGTGATCTGCCTTAGCTTTCTGACCCCAGAACACTTTGTGACCCAATGGCCACAAGGATGGTACTGCCCCTTGATAGTACACACATTAGAAAGACCAATTCCCCATCTCCTAAAGGAGATGGAGAAAAGGAGGCAGAAAGTTGATGAATCCCTGGAATAGTACAGAATCCTTCCAAGGAGGGTGTATGACTGGCCGCCAGTCCACAGATGTGACAGGGAGGGGATCTAGGAACAATGGACGATGCCGGGCGCTCAGCACCAGAATGCATTTTTCGTTAGAATGAAGGGAGCAGACAAAGCCCTCAGAAAAGACAGAGAGGCAAACAATATGTTAATTAGAACATTAACTCTATAACTGAGGGGGGCCTTTTCCCAACATTATCGTAAAGTAACTGTAACTAACCAAAATACGTACACGCCTCTTTCATGGAGTTAATAAAATTATGGCAAATGGGCAATCAGGGATAGAGGTACTATTTCCAGAAGGAAAAACTGGGATATAAGAAGTCATGCTGACAGGGCCTCATAGTTTCCCTTTAGGTTCTTGGAAAGGAGCCCTAGTCCAAAAATGACAGCAAATACCCATGATCACTATGTAGGGCAGAACCAGAGGGAGCCAGGCTGAGCCAAGAAGTAACTATCTGGAATGGCCTTCCAAATCCAAACATTATCCATATTCTTTATTCCCTCCAGTAATGTGTAAACCAAAATGGGTGAAACACTGGAGGTGGACATCTGATTTTTATTTCTGGGCAATCTTGATACTTCTCATTACAATTTGCCTGGAAAGGGAAAGGACGGTCGAGAACATGGACATCCCATCTTCCACTGCAAGGGCATGGAAAGTGGTAAGGACATCCAGCTGTGATAGACAGGAAATGGCAAGGCAATGAGATGCCATGTGCCTCGGGTAGCAGTATGGCCAACAGTCATTTTGGCCCAAGTTCATCTGCTCTCAAGGGGAGGTCTCCATGGAATGACCATGATTCCCAACGTGGCCAGAAAACCCATCGATCCCACTCATGGGGCAGATGATCAGAGGGGCTGCGCTCTTCCCTCCAGAGTAACTCAGACTGAAGTAGGGCCGGACAGGCCCACAGAAGGTAGCATGAGAGAAAGTAAAGGTGTGACATCTCTCTGTCACGTTGTAGAAAGAGACCTCGCCAGCATCATAGTCCAAAAAAATCCCCACCCGCTGGAGAGGGGTCCGTAAGGGGAGGGCAGTCATTGGGGAGGTAAGAGCCCAGTATTCTTTCCCATACCACAATGACACTGCCCAGAATCCATTCTGGGGGGCCGAGGTTACTCCACCTTTTCTGCATACAGAGTCTTCACAGACACCTATGGTCCACTTGGCCTTATCTCCCACCTCTACCTCCCAATAATGTCTCCCAGCGATGAAGCACGGAGAGCCCAAGACACAGGGGAAGAGATTGAATCGTTCGGGATTGTCAGGCAGGTCCTGCTGGAGGTAACTGTATCGCACTTGCCGCAGATTATCGGAGAGAATCAGGCTAGGGTATGCTGTGTCTGGGTCCAGAGTCACATCCACTGCAGAGACAGAGGGGAAGGTCAGTCCTGAGGACCAAGAGAGCCCACTCTGAACATCCAACCTTTCTCCTACCTCCCCAAGAAGAGAATAAGAGCTCCCCATTATAGGATACATACATCTTAATGAGGAAATACATTCTGAAATTGACATTTCAAAGGTTAGTCAGGATATTTTGAAAGTGCAGAAATTTTATCCATTTTCTCTCACATCTTAAACCACAATATCCATTATGAACAGATGGGAGGTTTTCTTACATGTCTACAATCTCTTAATCTGAAAGCCTCAGGTGTCAGTTTTATAGAACTCAGGATATTACAGAGTTCAGAAAAGCAATGCGGTCCTTACACCAGCAGACTCTGGTGGAGCACTCTATAATCATGTATTAATAGATCTGCTATACAACATACGAATGCTCACATTATGTGGGATAAAGATTCTAAACACTCACTAAAGTTCAAGTTTTGCTACCATGAAAACCTGCTACGATGATACATTTCATACTATAAAAATGCCCATCTCTCCATTCCTCTTTTATATCTTCCATTCTGTGGGATCTTTACTCTGTACATCTAGACCTATACATCTTCTAATGTCCAGTACAAGACCCATATCCCCCCCAAAGCTTTTCTTAATCAGCCTGAAATATATCACTCTCCTTTTTCTTAAATCCCAAACTGTGTAAATCTGTGTCATCTATTCTGATATTCAGAATGCAGCATTTCACAATCATGTGGTGCTTTCCTGCTTTAAAAGTACTGATATCATCTATCATTTGTTCCTCATAACATGCTTGGGCAGGAGAAAGACTTTCACATCTTAACTCCCAGAAGCAAGGCCCACAATATCCATTATAAACCACAGCTCAGGCAGGCGAAATGACTTCCCACAAAAGGCTCATGAGAGGCAACTGGCGGAGGTGACACGAACCCCATATACTTACTTCTTGGCTCAGTAACCCATCCACAACAGTAACCCATCTCTTTCTTGTGCTGTAGGTATATGTCATAACTACATATACCTCATACCTCATACACTACAAACTCCAAGGGTAGCACAGTGTCTTATGTTCCCTCTACGGTACCTGGAATAGTGTCAAACAGTGTAGGATATAACCAATGTACTCAATATTTGCTAGAAGAATTATGTACAGAATGCAGCTAGTCACTACCAGTGAATAAAGACCTATTGTACGTAGAGTCTCTCTCTTCATGAAGAGGATTCCATCCAGCAAAACATGGCTATGTGACTACAAAAGCACACATCTGAGTATCTCTGGAATCACAGATGCTGCCTAATCTTTCTGAACCTCAGGGTGAAGGTGGTGGTGGGAGAGGAAGATATCAATTCTTGTCCCAAGTGTAGTGAAGACAGGACACACAAGATTCCTAGCCTCTCCATAGCATGCAGTGAGAGTTGAGCTCAATCATTTCTTTTTGGAAGGATAACTGTTTTTCCCAAATCACAAGTTACCTCTGAGGCTGGGCAGGCAGACCAGTGTACCACCATACCAGCAGCCTCTACCTGTGGGGAATGATAGTTTCCATTCTGTAACCCTTCATAGCAATGAGCTTGATTTTTCTATTTCAAAAGGTCCATGGGTTTCAGATAGGAAGCATTTCATTAGGCGAAGATGTTGTAAACAATCAGTGGTTTTGTTGTTGTTGTTTATAATTTTTACACATGCAACCTAAAACCCTAAAAAAACAAACTCATTGCTGTTGAGTTGATTCCGACTGATAGTGACTCTATAGGACCAAGTAGAACTGCCTCCATAGGGTTTCCAAAGCTGTATAACCTTTATGGAAACAGACTGCCACATCTTTCTCCCCCCGCAGAGCGGCTGATCGGTTTGAATTGCCAACCTTATAGTTAGTAGCCAAGCTCTTAAACACTAAGCCACCAGGGCTTCTATGTAACCTAAATTTGCCAAATTTAGGCAAATTCCAAAATTATTCACAATAGTAGTCATAGTCACAAGGATGTTTACTTCTTTTCTATGGTTTTGTCTGCCATCACCTACCTGAGTATAACTGAGCTTCTCTCAATTCTGAAAGAATAAAAGAGAAAAGTTTACAGAAGTCATGTGAGAATTTCCCAGAAACACGTAAGTAGAGGGAGCTTGAGTTAGAGTTATCACAAAACAGTGGTCTCCATTAAGAAACCCAGAACCCCTCTTGCCAGTCATACACCAATTTTCATACAATGTATGACTCTATCATTCAGCTAAGAGCTTCAAGGAAGTGGGATTGGAAACCTTGGGCAGATAGATAACCTCATGTATGAGACTGGGAGAATACAGTCACACCAAGCCAATGGCTCTGCAAGGGGAAATAAGGTTCTAAGCCTGTGACGTAAGAACTTACAGCTTTCATAAGCCACCTGTGTGTCAGGGGCTAGGTAGCTCCAATCATACCTACAGGGTCACTCTGGGACAAATATGAGCATACAAAGTAGTTTCACAGATGTGTTCTAATTGAGCCTTTTAAGTGGCTAAAGAGTAGAAGTAAATGAGAGCCAGATTAAGAGAAGTCCTGCCTGAACTAAGCACTTCTAGTATTATCCAGTGTTATGAAGTAGAGGTTCTTCCCATTTGTCTTGCTTGTGGAGGACCTGGAGGTACCATCTAAATCTATGTTACTAGATGCCAAAAAATGTGTGTATCTAGGGAGATGCAATGCAAATAAGGATTCAGCCTATACAATATGGTATAATTACTAGATACTGGGAAATTATCAGAGCCTATGGGGAATTATAATTTGTAATATGTAAGTAAAGGGTTTATCTACATGGAAGGATTTCAGATGCCACCAGATTGCCTAGGAATTTTTATCTGTATGTGGTTCATGAACAGAGTATTTTAGATCTAGAAAAAAGGTTCCCCCAAATATCTAGAACACTTTATGGGAAAAGTATAGTGGAGAATCTTCAGTAAGTGGCAGAGCTGGTGCCAGGACCTGGAATCCCCGCTCTACCCACCTTCTCTCTGTGCCGCCTCAGTCCTCCTCTCCTGTCAGTTCCTGTGCTCAGAGGCAGTAGGACCTTATAAGTTAACCTTAAATATTAGCTCAAGGGAAACATAACTAGGGTAGAGTTACTGTTCATTCTTTTTCCAATTTAAATAATAAATAACTAATTAAACCAATTCTGGATTAATTAACTTTTGGATGGTTTATTTCTCTCCTCTGTCAATGTAGAACTCACTGATAGAATTAACCAATTTTACATTGAAACAAGAGGCTATTAACTGAGAAAAGCTAACAAGACAAAAATGAACGTGACAAAAATGTAGAAAATCTGGGCAAGTTGGCCAGTGGATCTCTCTCTTTTCTCATTTTCCCACACCTTTAATGCAGGTGTGCTCTTCCCAGGACTTGTCAACATCAAAAGCCCATTACGTAGATACACTTACCTTGGATTTTTTCCATATCTGACTGCATTTTTTCTAAGGGGAGAAAAGGAGAAGATAGTCAGCTTGCATTCCACTCCCTGACTGGAAAGTATATCCTTTCAATAAGGCAATAAGTAGATGTTCAAAACATAAATCCATTTCCCCTCACGACCCCTCTCCTCACATTACCTGTGAACTGCTTCAGACTCTCGGTCAAGAACAGACATTTTTGGGCAAAAATGTGGATTTTCTCTTGCAGATCTGGTGGTGTGATCCAGGGCTCAGGGATCCTGATTCTTTCAGCCCTAAATTAAAAAAAAAAAAAAAAAAAAATGAGTGAATCGCTTACTCAACTCTACAGGGTCAGGACAGTCTTGGCTAGGTATGTGAAGTCTTCACAATCAGCTACTACACCTCTTCCTGCATTCTCCTCCTAGACTGGGACTCATTTTGGTATCCAAAGCACTTAGCTCATAGCTTTTCAAACAATAAGTCCCAAGAAAAAAATGTATAAATTGATCAGGTTGATTTTCCCTGAAAGCACTGGACTCTATGACAAAGTCCTTAATATTCATGGTAGGCAACTACCCAGAATTGTCAGGTTCTCAAATATGGACAGTATGATACCTTCAGTTCCTTAGGTATTTACTGGAGAATACCCAATCATCTGCCACCTGCCCTCCCCCCCAGCAGTCCAAGGCAAAGGCTGCTGATGCCAACCCAATATCCCTTCTTCCATCTTCAAATTTTACTAGGCTCATGGATGTCCAGTCTCCCTGGCAGCTACATGTGACCTATGTCTGCATTCGTGGTAATTCGTGAAGTCTGATGAAAAAGAAGATGTGACTCTTATCTCCCTTACTCTGGCTGGCATTCCAGCAGTCATCTTAGAAAATGAGAATGAAGACTACGCTTTAGGAATGGCAGAAGGAACCACTGGGGCCACCCAATCAACCTTGAGTTACCTACCTGAATATATTTTTATATGGTGACAAAAATGTTTATTATATTTAAGCCTTAAGCCAATGAAACTTTGGCTTTCTTCTCATATAGCCAAACCGAATCCTTACTATCACACAGTGCTAGGGTCTGAGGGGTCTAGCTCCATAATACTGGGTCAGAACTAGATTGGCACCAAAAAGTGGCAGGAAAAAGCAGTATTTGCTTGGGTCATCTGGCTGGGACTGATACAAGTCCTAACTCATCTCCATCCCAGGGGCTTTTAAGAATTTCAATCTTATTTACGTGATTCTTGATTCTGCCCCCACAGCCTTCCCAGCCAACCTTCCCCATTCTATAAGGGCCTTCTCATCTCCATGTAGAGGTAATTTTCTCTCATCACCTGAACTGCCCTCACATAGTCAAGCATTTTCTTCTGGAAGTTCTCATGAACCATTCAGGACTATCTAACCATAGCCAGTCTCCACTCCCATAGACACTTGCACCAAACATGATCTTCCCAAGGCCTATCCTATTCGTCCTTACCACCCACTCTGCAAACACAACTCTGTCCTGGCATCTTGCCCACTCTGAGCTCTCCCTGGTCAGTCATGCCCCAACTCACAGGAACCACCTTCCATTTGATGGTAGCGTATCGAGAAATAATCAGAATAAGAGGCAGAATTCAGGTTGCTTATCACTAATATGTAAATTTTAGCCAGTAACACCTTCCTTAGGCCTTATTTTCCCCCTTGTAGGAAAAAAATATATTAAAAAGAAAGCAAAAAAAAAGACATCAGGAAAGGGAAAGAATTCTGAAATGCTTAAGGAGCAACAACCATAAACTCTCCTTGCACTCTGCCTCCCTGGTAGGTCCTCACAATCTCAGTGGGACTGGTTCACATTCAGAAGTGTCCACACACCCCCGAACCAGGAACACCATCCCAAACGAGACCCCCCCACACCCAATGCCCACTCCACAATCTGTCAACAATTCCTGAGCTTCACTGAGAAAAGCTGTGGTTCATCCAGTTCCTTGCACAGTAGTGACTCTCTTCAGGGATGGACAGGATATGTGTCACTTTGGTACTATGGCCATCCCAGGCTCTGGACTCCTCTCAGGATATACAAGTGTGAGGGAGACAGTCTTCCCATGCTTGATTTAACACTAGGGAGAGAAGACATTGTACCTGCTCAATGTGTCCCCAATGTCCTACAAGAGAAAGAAAAAAAGATAACCATGAGAAGTCATTCAGTATTTCAGTTTTCTCTAACAACTGTTTGTTGGAAACCCAACTATGAACTGGTTCTCCTGGGAGAATCCAGGGAGACAAGGAACACTGAAACATATCTCATGGTCTCAAGCAGCTGACAATCTAGCAGAAGAGACTAGAACTCATACTATTGCCATACCAGCATCTCCTATGCCCTCCTTTGGCACCCAGCATCCATTGGTCAAGGGATTTCATCATTCCAAATTTACTCATCAACCCCCAATACCCTTAAAACACCCTTCAAGTCTGGAATGGAACTCACCCTCGTGGCTCAACTTGCACCCAAATAATAGACAGACCTATAAGGTGAATAATGAATACCGGGGAGGTATGCACTCATTAGAACAATCAGCCATATGAGACCAGGGATAAAACTAAGAAAGCAGGAAGGGATAGGAAAGAAGGACAAATGGAAGTGATAAACACAGGGAGAAATGGGAAGAGTGCTACTACATTGTGGGGATTGCAGTGAATGTCACAAAATAAAAGGTGTATGTATTTTTGAATGGAAAACCAATTTACTCTAAACTTTCACATAAATCACCCAAATCTCTCTCTCACACACACACACACAAATAAAAATGAAAAAGTAAAATGGTGCAGCATATTTACTAATTCAAGCATCCTATCCTTGGAACACAACTGTCTGTCAAACTTGCTTTCTTTGACTTTTTATTGTGAAATAATTTCAAATAGAGAGAAGAACTGCTAGTACAAAAACCTCCTATACACTCTTTGTCCAGATTTACCAATTTTTAATAGTTTACCACATTTCCTGTATCATTCTCTCTTCCCCACTCCTACCTTCTCTCTATGTATTTTAAGGTATTTTTTTTCTTTAGAACCATTTGAATGTGTATTGTTTACATCATGTCTCCTTACACTTCAGCATACATTTCCTAGGAACAAGGACTTGTTTTTTTTTTATAACCATACTTGCTGTTAGGTGCTACTGAATTGATTCTAACCCATAGTGACCCCATGTAACAGAGCAGAACTGCCCCATAGGATTTTCTAGGCTTTAATTTTTAGGGGAGCAGATCAGTAAGTCGTTTCTCCCCTGGAGCTGCTGGGTGTCTGAAGTGTCCTTTTGGTTGGCAGTTGAGCACTTAACCACTGTGCACCAGGGCTCTTTAGGATCACAGTAGTTGCTAAATTCAGGAAATTTAACATTGATACACAGTCCATATTCTGATTTAACTGCCAGTGTTCTTTACAACAACCCTCCTTTCCTAATTTTCCCCCAAAGCAATTCAGGATCATTCATTGCATTTAGTTATCTTGACTTGTGTCTTTCATCAGAAGTTCTGCCTTGATTTGTCCTTCATGACACTGACATATTTAAGAATAGGCAGTTTAGCATTGAGGATGAGAAGGACATAGAGAGGTACATGGGAGGTACAGACAACAAATATGAACCCTTTTGCACATACAGCACTGCGTTGTCAGTGAAGGCAAACATGGGTATATGGGTGGATAGATGGGTGGACAGGCTGAGCGATTAGGTATATCTATGAAATGGGGAGTGTATCCAAGAACATGTATAGGGTTGGCAGACAATGGTCCTATAAGTTTATGTGAATGATCAGAATTCCCAGGTGTATAGTAGAGCTGACAAGGGGTAAGGTTG